CCCCACTTGTACCCACCCCACTCAGACCCACCTTGCTCAGTCCCTCCCTTCTGGGCCCCTACTCACTCAGGCCTTCCTGACTCTGGCTTTCCCACTTGAGTTTTCCCCTCTTAAGACTCCCCAGATGGCTCCTTCACTCAAGTCCCTACCTACTTGCCAGCATCCCCCCACTCAGCCAGACCCCATTTAGCCATCCCCACTCAACCCCACTTGACTTGGTCTTGCCCCACTCAGCCCTTCCCCACTTGAGCCCCACCCTACAGGAAGCCTGCTCCTCTCGGCCCCTCCCCACTTGCCTCCCATTCTGGCCCTCCCCACTCGGCCCCTCCCTGCTTGTGCTCTGCTCACTGGAGCCCCTGTCCACTTGAGCCTCCCAGTTCCAAGGCCCCCTGAAATAGCAGGTTCCACGTTGGCTGGGAAAAGGAGAAGACGACAGAGAATACTTTGCAATGAGGACACAGTCGCCACTGTATGGGATGCTAAGATTCGTCCTTCTGGTTGGAGAGGGTTTTTCTTTCTCTACTTTCCATGAACAGCACAGATCTACCCACATGACTCGCACATCTGCAAGCACCTTTACCTGAGGATGTTGGCTGTGGCCTTCCTTTCCTGGGGAAGGAGGTCTGGGTCTCGCAAAACTTCTTCCAGCAAATTTAGGACATTCATCTTTAGTTCATTGTTGAGTTCAAAATCCTATAAAATACAGTGAATTCTTTTAAATTTCAGTTCTGCCCACGTATGGTGGCTCATGCCACTTTAGGAGGTTGAGGCAGGAGGATCACTTGAGGCAAAGAGTTCGAGACCAGCCACAGCAACATATACGAAAATATCAAAAAATTAGCTGAGTGTGGTGATGCATGCCTGTAGTCCCAGGTACTCTGGAAGCTGAAGAGGGAAGATCGCCAGAGGTCGAGGTTGCAGGGAGCTGTGATTGTGCCACTGCACTCCAGCCTGGGCTACAGAGTGAGACCCTGTCTCTAAAAGAATAAATAGACAAATAGATAAATCAATAAATAATAAATAAAATTTTGGTTTTAAGGGTTTAGCTCTGTGACATGATTCCCCATGGTAAATTCTAGAAGCTCCCATAAGGGTCGCATGCACATTGTGAGGGGCTCAGGATGCCAATCTTTCCTCACCAACAAATTCTCTTTGCCAGAAACAAAGGACCCAGCGTGTCACTGCTGAGGCACTTTTCTGGTTCCCATAAGAGTTACATGAGCATCGTGAGGTTCCTTCTGAGGTCATCAGAATAAGGTGGTATAGGGGAGAGAAGCCAGGAAAAGGAGGCCAACAGGATCCAGGCTAGGGGTTTTGAGGGGGAATTGGAGGGAGAAGAGAAGTGACGGGTGCCCTCGACCCTGACATGGTCACAGTGTATGTGTCGTGCACCGTCCCCAGTGGAGCCCAGGAGGCTGCCTGCTCGACCCTGAATATCAAAGCTGCTCTGTGTCTCAGGAGCTGCCATGGCCCCAGAGTCAGATGTCACAATCCTGAGAGAAGAAGCCAGAGAGGAGATAGTAGATCGTGGATAGACATTGCCTCATGTTTGGCCCGCTAGGAGGCAAGCGCTCACCACAATCAGGGAGATGAGTTGTCCCCAACAGCTGTGGGCTCTGGGAACCCAGTCACTTGGTTGAGGCATGTGAGAGAGAATTGTATACCCTCCACTTGGTGGCCATCTTCCTAGCCTTCATTTCCAGGCTGGCTGGTGGTGAGGCATAAATCCTGCCTTCTCTGATTAGGACATTCTCTGACTGCAGGGACTTCAGAAGCCCGGCTGTTGAGGACCCTATCCAATAGATTGTCACCACCATGAGGTGGACAGTAACAAGACATCAACAAGACCGCATGCTTCACTTCCATCTGGGGATGTGTAGCACTCACTAGCCAGCCCAAGGCTCTGAACGTCACCCACACTCAGCCAGTGGTCCCTCTCCAGAGCCTTCCCTGTGAGTGCTGGGCACCAGTGTCTGAAGCCTTCTATCATGGCCTGGAGAGAGCCTGGTGCATGTGGCCACCTGGGAGGCAAAGTATCCCCGACTTCATTCTGCAAGGGAGATAAATTCCACAAACTCACACTGAGAATACGCAAGTGGACAGTGACTGTTGTCCTGGAGAGCGATGCGCATTTATAGGCATCACAGGACAGACACCAAGGGAGACAAGCAGACAGCTCCTGACCAGGCCCAGAGAGCAGCCTAGTCAGACACCCTGAGTGCTGTCTACCTCAGGGATGCCTGCTTTCTACCTCAGGGGAGTCTGCTATTTACCTCAGGGGACACCTGCTGCTTACCTTGGTGGGGGTCAGCTGTTTACCTCAGGGTGTGTCAGCTGTTTACCTCAGGGGATGGGGCACCACTGCTGCTGGTGACACCCAAGCACAACTCCACTTACTAGGAGACCCCCCTAAGAGGTGCTCTCAGGGGCACAGTATAGGGCCTGCCACGGATCCAGTGCTCATGCCATGTGCTGCTGCCTCAGAAGATGAGGGGAGGGCGTCCTGGCTTCCCGGTTCTGTCCTTCATGGATCTGAGCCAGGGATGCTGCAATTTGCATGTCTGCTTCACTCTGTGTCTATCCTATCTCCTCCCTTCCTAATTCCCATGTCAAGGTTTCAAACTCACGCCAAAGAATCAGGAGCATTTTTGCTTTTGTTTTTTTACACGGGTAACAACTTAGAAAGTGGTACAAAGAGGCTAAGTTTCAAGAATGGAGGAGAAAATGGACCTGCTGAGGCAAAAATCCATGAGCAGAGATATGAAAGAGGTCTTCCCTGTCATGGGCTTTGTTTTTTGTTTTTTAATAGTTGGAGTCTCATTCTGTCACCCAGGCTAGAATGTGGTGGCAGAATCACAGCTCACCACAACCTCAACTTCCTGGGTTCAGGTGATCCTCCTGCCTCAGCCTCCCGAGTAGCTGGGACTACAGGTGCATACCACCAAACCCAGTTAATTTTTAAAACTTTTTGGTAGAGACAGGGTCTCACTATGTTGCCCAGGTTGGTCTCAAACTTTTGGCCTCAAGCAATCCTCCCACCTCAGCCTCCCAAATTGCTGAGATTACAGGACTGAGCTGCTGCAACTGGCCTCACGGGTTCTTTCTGAGACACCCACCTGTGACCTTGGCCATCTTCCCTATAGTTGATGCAGCAAGGGGCACACTGAAGGTCTCTACTGTGGCCTATTACAACCTCTGCAGGAAGAGCACCATGAGCAGAGGGCATCAGTTGAAAGGACAGGGAGTGACAGGGCCAGTGGGGTTGGCAGGAGAAAAGCCTAGCCAGGGCCCTGTATCTGGAGTTGTACTGTCCAACCCAAGCCTGGCTTCACTCCATCCTATGCCATGACGAAGTGAGAGTTGCTTGAGAAGGCTCTAGGCCTCCCTCATGTAGAAGAACAGCACCTATATGTGCACCTGCGCCCTGGAAGTGACCATGTAGGTGAAATAAAGTAAGCCCCACAGAGCACTCTAGGGAAATTCTTGGAGGTGACCCGTGGGCCGACTCACCTGCGCATGCTTTGAGACCCAGTGCCGCAGGACGTTTAGCACGCGGTTGGTGGCCGTCCTCCGAATAATGAAATCCTTGTCACATGTCCTTTCCGTGTTATTAAATCCTTAGGAGGAAAAGAGACAGGTGCAGTCATTAAAGCCAAGTGCAGGGACCTGGAAGGTCACTGAATTTAGGGTACCAATTCATAGGGCCCACAGGTAACATATCTCAGCAGGATGACACTCACAGCCTGAGCCTGTTGTGAATCCTGCTCACCAGTCACGAGCTCAGCAGTGCGTCCCCCACCTGGTCACAGGTACAGTTAGATGAATACCATGCATGCACATGTTAAAGACCACCTGACCAAAGCCACCGCTGCTCTCGGGACACTGCAGGGACATCTGTCTTGCTCTCCATGAAAAGCTGGGAAGGGGTTTTGACCCAACATCGAGTCAGTGTTAACTTAGTGACTATGGCATCACACTTCCAGCATCTGTAGATGACAGGCCCTGCTGGGCCCATTGGCAATGCAGTGTCCCGCCCTCCTGTGCATTCAGTGAAGATAGAGTGTAGTGCTATGGTCACTAATGCGCATTTCAAAATGCAACAAGATTCTATATTAAAGGTTTTCACCATAAGCCACTGATGAGCAAGGGGTGAGGACCTGCTCACAGGATTTCATCAATTCATGATATAATCACGACCGGGTACTCCACAATAAACAACACACACTATCATCACTTTTGAATTACAAAAAAAGTAAAAGAAAAAGTTAAAAACTATGGGTTCCACAGCCAGGCTGCCTGGTTTCGAATAGCTATCCTCTACTACAGGGAGGGTCACCTCTCCGGGGCCCAGCCCTAGTGCTTCAAGGGATGACAGGTGTACTGCCCTCACAGGGCTGCTGTGGGTAATACTGACTCCCAGACTCCCTGCCTCACACATGTCTGCTCACCCTGCCTCTGTGCCCCAGGGCCTTTGCATGACCTGCCCCACATCTGGATGATGGCAACACCCTCTGTGCAGGGAGAGCCTCTCTTGTTTCTTGTGCCACTTCCCTAACCAGCTCCTCCAACCTGAGGGGCAGTCTCCAGCTCAAACACCCCAAAGGACACGCCCGTGTATCATGTAGTCACTGATCTACACTTCAGGGACCTGGTAGATTCTGCTGAGCATCGCACCCATCTTAGCAGCAGGGGCTGCACACAACGAGTGTACTGGGTACGCAGACAAATGCCCACAGGGGTCAATGCAGAGTTAGATCAGCAACTATGCAACCAGCTCCTCTGATAAAAATGTTTGACCCATGTCTGCTCACAGGGAATAACTGGTGGCTCCTGTGGGCCATGTAACTCTTGCCCTCCTTGCCACCACCCCCACCCCACCAACCCCCACCGAATGTAGTCACCAGCTCTTATGCTGGAACTTAGAAGCACAGCAGGAACACACTGCCAGGTGAGGTGAGGGTGACTTCTGCCAAAGCAAGTGGGGGCACCAGAGGCTTGGAGAGAAGTGACGTCACAATGTGAGCCCATCTAAAGCAGGGATAACCAACCCCTGGAGCCCCTGGGTCATGGACCAGTACTAGTCTGTGGCCTGTCAGGGACCAGACCACATAGCAGCAGGTAAGCGAGCAAAGTTTTATCTCTATTTACAGCTGCTCTTCATTACTCACATTACTGCCTGAGCTCACCTCCTGTCAGATCAGTAGTGACATTAGATTACATAGGAATGCGAACCCTATTGTGAACTAGCTGTACATGTGAGGGATCTAGATTGCACACTTGTGAGAGTCTAACACCTATTGATCTGAGGTAGACCTGAGGCGGTGATACTAGCACTGGGAAGCAACTGCAAATACAGATTAACATTAGCAGTGAGGTTTGACTGCACAGAGACCATAATAAATCAGTTACTTGCATACTCATATCAGAACCCTATCAGTGAGTGGCAAGTAAGTTAATGTACTTCAGTTGCACAGCTGCATCTGATGGCAGGCTGTAAGTCAGATTCCAACACTGATTTTAGTCCACGTGTGGTATTTTATTTATCACTTCCATCCAGTCCTCTTTATTTTTTTAATGGTGAGCTGTATAACTATTTCACTATATATAACAATGTAGTAATAGACACAAAGTGCACAATAAATGTTATGCACTTGAATCATCCCAAAACCATCCCCCTACCCCAGTCTGTGGAAAAATTGTCTCCCACGAAACCAGTCCCTGAAGCCAAAAATTTGGGGACCACTGGTCTAAATGATGTCAAGTTGAGCCCAGGAGTTCAAGGCTGCAGTGAGATATGATCACACCACCGCATTCCAGCATGGGCAATAGAGTGAGACTCTGTCTCTAAAAAAACTGATTTTTTTTTTAAAAAGGATTCAAGAAAATTGACTGGGGCAAGAAGGAAAGAGATATGTTAGAAACGGAAGGAATGACAGACAGGTCTGTGAGAGTCATAACACAAACCAGTTGAAAAACAAAAAATATAGCAACCCTCAAAGATTTAAGAACTGCAGCATTTCTGGTCAGCTTCTTGATTGCAAAATCAACATTACTCAGAAAGCCCCAAGAAAATACAGTGAATGTTCTAGAAACAGATCATGCACAGAACATAAAGAAGAGGGAATACACTTTAATGTCCTGATCATTTTCTTTTCTGCTTGCTCTGTAGCCAACGGTGTGAATAAGGAAGACAGGAAGGTCTTCCTGCCCCTCTTTTGGGTGAGACAGGACCCAGGGCCTAGGTAGGTCATTCAAAAGAGTAATTTTTAACACCCTTCTATGTTTTTTCTACAGAATTCTACTCACACCTGGGAATGAGCTGAAGCATGCATGGCAGCATCTCCTAGGAGAGGGTATGTGGACGAGTGGAAAGTGCCAGAATTGTGAATGTGTCTGCATATTGTCTCAATGGAAAATGGTGGTTCAATGCCCAATACTCAGTGTTCGATGCTGGAAATTTTTCATGTAGGTTACCAAAAACTCTCAATACACTGGAGAGCCTTGAAGTTCTTCTCTGGCCCTGCCAGACGCCTTCCCCTCATCCACACAGGACCTAATTCCCACAGAGGGATTCCTTGTTCCTCCCCTTGAAGCTGTGCTCTGCTGGTCAAACCAACGCCTACCAATGGCACTCAGCTGCTGAAGATGCCAGAAGCTCCCGAGAATTCCACTTCCCGAGCCTGTGTCTCCACTGCTATTTGTGAGGCCAAAGTCCTCTTTCAAAACCACAGAGTCTGAAAGCATGTTCTGTTTAACTTCCCAAGAAATGATTTAACAGTCTAGAAATGATTCTGCTGTCTACCAGATACTTGTATAAAAGTATTTTCCATCAAGTCGAAGGATTGGTTAATAAAAATGTGAATTAATGAACCATGTTGATTCCTAAATGTCATGAGGGTGGCCCCAAATTTTTTCATCAATCCTGGCCCAATTTTAAGGGAAGATATAATAATCACAATGAAAAAGTGTCATTTTGGCTGGAAACAATTACTTTCCAAAAGTAAACTAACCTCTGGGACTCAGGCCCTCTGGAGAGGCGGTGAAGTAAACTGAGCCCACGGTGAGTGTGCAGGTACTAGGCTGCCATGTCCTGAAGAAATGCAGGTGGCCTGTGCTCTCCTCTCAGATTCAAGCCAGTGACTCTGCCTTCCTCTCGAGTCAGGGGTCCTCTGGGGTAAGAACCTGGGAGTAAGCTGGGCTCAGTGGCTCAGCCTGTAATCCTGCACCTTTGGGAGGCTGAGGTGAGTGGATTACCTGAGCCTGTGGGTTTGAGACCTGCCTGGGCAGCGGGACCTCATCTCTACAACAAATTAAAAAATCAGCTGGGCATGGTAGCGCATGCCTGTAATTCCAGCTACTCGGAAGACTGAGGTGGAAGGATCGCCGGAGCCCAGCAGGTGAGGCTGCGGTGGCTGGGAGCGGCCACTGTACTCCAGTCTGGGTGACCGAGTGAGACTCCAACTCAAAAAAAAAAAGAACCTGGGAGTAGACTTCACTGAAGGCATCACTCTTACAACTCAGACAATGTGATGACAATGATTTCACAGCCAGCACCACTCAGTGCTCGTGGACCCAGGGGCTTGAGCTCATTCAAGCTTTATGACAACTCTTCAAGTCAAGAGGCCAAGATATCCCCATTTTATAGAAAACAGTATTGCTGTGATAATAATAATAATATCTATATATTATTTACTGTGCACCAGGCCCAGTGCTAAGCAATGCACATGTGTTAACTCATCTGACCCCACACCAACCCCTCAAGCTGGGACTACAAGTGCATGCCATCACAACCAGCTAATTTGTTAAACATTTTTTTTGTAGAGATGGGGTTACACTATATTGCCCAGAGTAGTCTTGAACTCCTGACCTCAAGCTGTCCTCCTGTTTTGACCTCTCAAAGTGCTAGGAGTGCAGGCATGAGTCACCACACTCAACCAGAATATGCATTGTTTAAGGAAGATATGAAACCATCTCCAGAATACACCATAAAGTAACCCATAAAACAAGTCTCAATGGATTATAAGAGATTAAAATCATAAGAGGATATTTTAAGAACACAATGGTACTAATTTATAAATCAGCAACAGAAATAAACAGAAATAAATAGAAAATCTCAAATATTTGGAAATAAGACAATAAGTTGCTAAATAACTCATGGGTTAAATAAAATTATCAGTCATCTTTTCTGCATACTGATGTGATTTCTTTTGGCTGTGTACCCAGTAATGGGATTTGGATCACGTGATAGCTACATTTCAAAAATCTTGGGAACATCCATACTATTATCCATAATGGCTGTACTAACTTACGCTCCCACCAACAATGCCTAAGAGATCCTCTTTCTCACTCCTCACCAGCATTTGCTATTTTCTATCATTTGGTAATAGCCTTTCTAATTTGGGTAAGGTGATATCTCATTGTGGTCTTGATCTGCATTTTGCTGATGGTTAGTGATTTTGAGTACCTTTTCATATATCTGGAGGATATTTGTATGTCTTCTTAAGGGAAATTAGAAACTATTTTAAATAAATTAATTAAATAATTTAAATGAATTAAAATAAAAACAGGACATATTAAAATTTATGGAATTCGAATAAGCAATCTTTAGAGATAAATT